AGAAACCATTACAGAACGAATATAACTTGAAGTACACTTATGTTTGTCATAAAATGAGCTGAGTGATGTTGGATATGCTGAATGTGTAGCATGTTTCTGAGGAAAATTACTAACGAATTAGTGTACATATACGTACAACTATTTATCCTTGCAAATCAAGTATCTCTACGAGGTTTTAATATTCTCAAATATATGCAAAAAGTATGGAATACTTCTAAGGTTTCATATGTGTATACAGAAGAGTTGAAACACAGCTACTTGATAATCAAGTATTTTATTTAAAAATAAAAGTTGCACTGAAGAATGCCTACCTATGATCATAATATACCTATTAAAGCTGGTGAATCAAAACAATCAGTGAATGAATCTTGCACCCATCCTCTACACTACCGTTTATTATCATTGAATAGTGTAGTCATTTTGACTTATAGAATTCGACCAGTTTTAACAGTATGATCATTAAACTAAGTGATTTCAAATGACAATGCACTTGACTGGATGTCTAAAGATTACCTGTATTGTGCCAGCCACGCAAATTTCATACTTGCTACCAGTAATCAGTAAGGTATGTTTTCATCCTTGACAGAACTAATAATACTTCAAAAACTTCTACTTACTGACCGACCAGCATGGTTTATTTTCCCTGTAGGAGGTAACAACATTCTTGACTTCAGTGGTATGCTATATCACTTTGGTATCTTGATGAAAGCCAGATCTGTCAGTGTTTAAGATAGGTTTCATTGGTCAGTTTGTGCAAGCTCGAAGTAGCAATCAGGAAAACCCTGATAATCACTTACGACCAAATAAACTATGGATCGTGAATTAATTGACATACACAAATCCATAAACACCTGTGATATTAGATATAAAAAGGAAAATGTGAACTAACTCTAGTAGCTTTTCATCATTTTTTAAACAATGTTAATGTCAAAGATAAGTGGACTTAACGTTTGACAGGAAAAAGGAATTTTTATTTTAATGTAACTAATCTATGTCGCATACAAAAACGATACCTAACAATTAGTGTGTTTACTCAAAATTACCAAACTGTAGATTATGACAAGGGTATATGATCTCGAATAGTTAGGAACTTAGATAATCAGGTAAAACAAAAGCATAAATGCCTAAAACTTTATTCGAGTTAGTTTTGTTTATACTGAATTTCTTGTTGCGAATGACAACAAATTGTTGTTAACGTAACAGTAATGTGATGCACGCATTTCGAATATATATATATATATATATATATATATATATATATATATATATATATATTGCTAAAATAACGAATATGCAGCTGTTCCAACAAATCCCATCACTGTTGTTAAATTTAAAAGTGAAAAAATTTTCATAAAGACTATGCAATCAGTTATTTGTCCAACCCCGATTAGGTTAGAAGTATTTTCATTTGGCTACCACATATAATAAACCAATAACAGATTATGGTGGTGTTATTCGTTATCACTGGGGATTATTGATAAGATGTAGTGACCACTACCTAACTTGATTCATTGTTAACCTAATGAGAGTTTGTATCTAAACCCAGAATTATCGGTTTTTATAACTCTTGTTCTAAAAACACTCCAAATAACTTAATTGTAATTCGGCATCGAGACCAAAAACCATTCGTCTCATTATAAGAACTATCAAAGGACAAAAAATTTTGAAAACTCCCTTTTCAAAAGGTATTATATGTAGTCTTGAGTCACTCAGACTAATAACTAGATCAAAAGTTGGTTAACAGAATCCAATCAGCAGTAACAACTAGAAAAATATACCATTGACCACCACTAAGTGATGCACGGTATTTAAGGGAAAATAACTCGTATAAAGTGCTCTCAAACTTAGAAGTTTGCTAAGTTTACGTGCTCAGAAGACCCTTCTTCACACGCCTGCTTCTCACCCTTTAAATTTGTATATGAAAGACAGTGCAACACTTATGAAAAAATCTGACAGGAATGAAAAATAACTGTCATCCTATTAGTTATGTCTTCAAACTTCCTGAGACTAACAAAAAGTACAGTCATTGTAAAGGAAATCTTATCCACTCAACTTTTTTTCTGCTTTTAAAAGAGGGTCAAGACATTTTCACTTTTTACCCAAATTACCTTCCGTTAAAAGCATTGCCTCAAACTCGAGACCACTGTCTTTGATCAAAACCTCTAACATTTACTATACCTTTTTTAGAGAATAATTAACAATGGTCTTCTGAATAAACCAATTTACGATTACTTTGCTGTATATATATATATATATATATATATATATATATATATATATTAATTCATAAAGTTCCACTTCCCTAGGATACCTTGACAAAAGATACCCTGATTTTACATGACATTCTCATAACTGATTGGTTACGACCTGTGACATATGTGAGGCAATTCAGATGAAGTTTCCATAATTCTCTTAATTAAAAATTCAGTTACTCTAATCCTAATAAATGTCTAATCCTGTAATTTCCTTCACTTAGATAAAAAGTAACGTTAAATTTGATTTCAGTGATCCTTAATAACTATTCATAGAATAACCGCTTGACAATGTAAGGAGTATAACTTTCGAATTTTAAAAACCCACTCCCAGATAAAGTACTGCAAATCTGCTTAATCACTTCTACTGAATCTTCATAGGATTTCTAAAAAAGATAGATCAGTAACGATTACATAAGCTAACTAAGATGACATTATTGACATTACTGACATTATTGAAATAAATATATTTGTATTTTTGAAGCAAGAATTAACCAACTATCCTTAATCATTTTATATCAAACTATTTCGTAATAAACTCCGCCAGTAGAACCTTCGGGGCTACTGCCGGTCCCAAGCCCGGATAAAGGAGGAGGGTTGGACATGGGGTTGGCGGCCCCATTCCGCCGAAATCTCACTTGCCAAAAAAACGCTAACCAGAAAGAATAACTCGAACCATTTTAACTCTGCCCTGGGAGTTGGAACAAGAATTATGACGTCTCGTGATGAAAGCCGAGTTCCCTCGGAAGTCACGGGGCTGATGCCCCAGGACAGAGTTGGTTGGAGAAAACTGGTGGGCGGCCTATGCTCCATTGGGGATAACAGGCGTAAGTAAGTAAGTAAGTACGTAATTTCGTACTACATTACTGTAGCTGTAGTCTTACAAATACAAACTAAGCATAACTTTCCAATTACCCAGTTTAGTGGTTCCGTCTTCTATTTATTTTGAATATGAACAAATGTATGCATAATTAGGATAGCCACTTTTGTGTTCTCGAGCGTTTATAAACAAATCTATGAATTTTAGGCTGGTCAGTCGTTCTTCATAAAAAAAAGAATAGTGTAATTCAAATGCATGCACAGTTGAGCTTGTTACTGGCAAAGGTGATGCATCGGTATGAGGAACTTAAAATGGATTAAAATGAGTTATTTGGAGGTTCAAATAATTTCAGGCATTCTTAATAAATTAAAGCAGAAAAGAAATTGATGCTGGTATTTGGTAGGAAAATTCAGTAGTATCCTTTTGACACTTTTGATGTTTCAACGTTTCGTCAAGTAACGTTGTTTATACTTATTTCCTTTTGAAACTCCTTATTTTACTGATTGTCCGCAAACTAAAAAATTTCGTATGCCAGAAGTAAGTAACCAAGGGACAGGTAGGAGTATTTTTTTTGTCTAAACAAAGACTGGGTTTTATTAACTCAAGAATTTATGTTTTCATAATGCAGTTTGTTAGCATTGCCGGTGTTAATAAGTTATGTTATTAATGCTTTGCCCATTGCCCAGTTTTAATGAATCCAAGCTATTTAGGATTAAACAACTTCAAGAAAATTATACTGTTCAACAAAAGCCTTACGTTTGGTTTGAGGATACAAAGTTAACATCCTAAACCTGGGGATCATGCAACCTTGGTAAACCTTGAATATCTGCGTAATGTAAGCAAACTGATGAAAAAGTCCCAAAAGGGACAATATGAGCAAATAAAAAATCTATTTCATGAATCAGAGAGCATAAATATCAACGATGCGGGATGCTAGAATCACAGATATATCAAAAAAGTACTTGTACTGCCTACGAGTTAACAATTCATCACTCACGCTATATTTCAAAGTAATCATAATCGTAAATAAAAGTCAGTGTAAACATATTCACTGAAGACAAACTAGGGAAATGTAATTTGAACCAAAGTATTTTAGTTTCATGCTTGTGACTAATGTAGAACTCATGCAATTCCTAGCGAAAAATTAGTTTGAACATACTATGAATATGATCAAAACAAGACAATATGTCTGGCATTTTCATTTCAATTTTACTCATTCCAATGTACGGAGTAAATTAACTGTCTCATGCATAGTAGTGTATACAAATATTGAAATCCAAAGAATGCTTTCAGTTATATTGACGATATTCGTTCAACAAGTGTGAATAAAATGTTGACTTGGGAAGATTCAGTAAAAATGAAAGCCAAACTGATATGAGTCTTCAACTATCCGAATCGCATTTTGATTAGCATAATCTTTTGCGAAAGTTTGAAGCTATATATTCATTTAAGCCAAAGAAGATCGTGCACAAAATGGATTAAATTTTTCTAGTGGTTTTGTCATAGTAACAAGACATTATAGGATAACACCAGCTAAAATCATAAACAACTGAATTAGTACAACTCAGTTACCTCCAACAGACGCTGTTATGAACACTCCGCCTTATCAACTTACCACAGGAATTGTCATGACTAATGTCAGAATGTGCAAATAAATATGCTTTTACTAAACGTTACAAGTTAAAATCACCAGATATACAACCTTTATGTGTAGGCTAAAGATTTGCTATAAAAATAAAGTGCAAAATATAGTAGTCTTCAACAATACTTATTTCTTCTGGAGAAATGTATTTAAAATTCTATGCTGCAAAACAAAATTATGTAATTGCAAGCAAAACCAAACAAAGAATTTTCAGATGTGAAATATCTCTGATTTTTTAGGTGTATACCATCCAAACTGTGTTGTGAGAGAAGCAAGCATTACCTACCATCGGTGAGGTTTCGTATGGCTGGGAAATTCAAAGTAATAGAAGCAATAAAAAATACAACTGATAATCAAATTCAGGTACTTGTTCAAGAATAGTTAAAGAAATATGTGTTGTCAACCTGATGTATTACAGCAAAATATTAGACAACAAGATTTTGATTTCAGCACATACTGGCCTAACATCATGTAAGTAAGCAATCATAAAGAGACAAAATGGTACAATACACTTACCAATATCACAACGAGCGTGAGAAACTGTTTCCTCTTTTCTGTCCGGTATAAACATCTGCTTACGGTTGTCTTCGAAAATCTGCTCCCAGTCGATAGTGAAACCGAAGTTGCACAAGTTCTGGTTATTTAGAGCTACAATGTGATTGCGCTGAATGGCTGTAACATAAATTACGAAATACTATTTAAAGCCATAATAAAGTTATCACTTAGAAAACTGTTTCCAAAAATTTTTTAAGAGATTCGGTTAAATGGAATATTTCCCTAGACAAGAAATCATAAATATACATCTTCCATTCATAAATATCCTATTTTCCACTTACAACAGTAACGCTGCGAAGGAAGTTCTTAGCTTATTATAACAATATCACAAGTATTTCGAGTCTTTCCTTCTCCTTAATGAGTCTGTCTTTACGTATGCTAAAAGAATGAAATCCTTCTATAAAAAACCTGTCTAAAAATAATTTTAACGTACAAGCATCTAGATATAACGGATTGATGTATAACATATATACTTCTCTTAAAGTAAATTATTACAATAAAAAGCGAGAAAGTTTTGTAAATGTCACAATGAAGTATGAAGAAACCTGCAGAATCATAGATCAGAGACCATTTTAAGGGCCGAGCAATAATAGTAAACCAAAAGATCAAATGACAATGTAATCCAGTGCCGCAGTTAAAAAGCAAATTCTTTTGGACAGAAACGATCAGTAAGACACTTAGACCTAATCTATTTGCCAGATTTTGTAAAAACGGAAATAGTTTTCTTAAAATAGAGTAATTAGAACATATATCATACTTATCTATGGCTAGGAACCAGGCTTTTAGAACCTAAAAACACTCCTGGGAATAAATGTCATTATCAGGTTTGTGATTACCATTATTGCTACAATGGTGAGCAATATTTGTAAAATGTCTATGAAATGTCTAAACTGAGTTGCTGGTTTGATTTGTAGGTCTAAATCTCTTACTACTTTTCGTACCTCAGATGTACACGTGAAAATTCAGCCAATCCTATCACAAATGGGATTATCAGCGAAAATAAGTGTGATCAGATACTTTCTTCAGTCATTTTGCCTTCCATTTTTATGTGGAAATTCGAACGCAGATAATGGAAAACTCAAGTGCATTTCACACTGATATAATGCGTGTAAAATGTCACCAGTACAATATAGAAATGCAAATAAACAAACAAGCGGTCAGTGAGAAAACTTATTACCTGTTAGGCTTCGCAGATCTAGAGTTTGAAGACTGTTTCGATTAACCACAAGTGCAGCACTAGTGTTCATGATACGATATCCCGGTTCCCCGCGAATAACTTTTAAAGAAGGTAAAGATATCGTTTGAACGCTGTTTTGACCAATATAAACATAGCCTGACACATCTTCAATTTTGTCAAGAAAAGAAAGGTCAGGATCAGTTCCATTTTCTGTTTAATCAAACACTGATTAATATGTTAACTTACCAAGTCTCTCAAGTCCACATATGACTAAATTACCGATTATATGAGTACACCCGCCGTAAAGAAACTTGATATACGCAAGTTGTATATGTTTTGGATTCGGCTTTAGGCAGTCTTTCTCCCAAACACGACATGCTAAAGACATTAAATTAGAAAACTGCACAAACCTTTGATCCATGGGTACTCAGAAATAGAAAATTTAAGAGACCAACAGTTAAGAGCTGAAATTCGAATCGCTCAAAAAAAATAAAATACCAAAAACAAAAACCAGGGTAGGTGATAACAAATTCATTTAGCGATTATTTTGCCGTTACATTCCATCAGCGTTTAAATACGTGCCTAACTTTTTTGACCTACAAGTTTAACTTAATCGATGTAGTCAAACTATTTTAATTCTACTTTAGGTTGAATAAAATAGCAGTCTGTTTCTGAAGATCTAAAGTTTGATCATAACTAGACTGAAGGAAGTGGAACACCTAAAGAGCATCCCTATGAAGGATTTTGAGGAGAGAATTAGGTTGGAGACGACCTTTAAGGGAGGAGACCTTCAAAATATTTGTCAACCCAATTGGGTTTATAAAGGGTTATAAATTAGCTCCAACATCAGATATCTTTGTCACGAGCTTGTATCAACCACTTGACTTCTTGTTCTTTCGGTACGGTTCCTGGTGCTTGGTAATGTCCAACTAACGGCTTCTAGCCACTTAAATGCATATTTCTAGTCAGTTGGCAGTTGTTTGTGAGTTTGTATGTCTCTGATATCAATGACTCCGTTTTTAGGCAGTAGGGTTTCTGGATACCAGTAGCTCTCAAATTATCGGGCCGGAGATCAGTCAGTTGCAGTATGGAAAATAGTTAGGAGAAAATTCCAATGATAATAGTTATAATATTACAGGTCTAAGTAAACAAATGGATAATTTAGTTTATTAGTTGGAAGTGAAGATTTGAGAGAGGACACTCCACACATCATGGCGATATTTTGTTTTCATTGTTTAGAAGTCATGTCATCAGACACCAGCTTATATCCAGAAGATTTTATTTCCAAATATAATGTGATATCAATCGTATTAATGCCTTCAGAGAAGCCTTGTAGGCTGGATTCCTTCGATTTTATTTGATGGTATGGTTGGATCGCACAGTTTTTATTCCCCATCTCTAGTTCAGTCATTGTAATAGTTAAAAAGAAGTCTCCTGAAAACTTACCACAACTGAACTTTTCAGTATTCTGCTCTAGAGCGGCTGAGGAAACATGCTCTAGGTTCTCAATAAGTTGCGTGGTAAGTAGCAGTTTAAACTCAGTAATTTTAATTTCATATCCTGCGTGAGGTTTGTAAAACTATGAATAAACAGTGGATATCACTGCATGATGAGACAATAGTATTACCTGAAAAAACTTAGATGATGATCATAAATGTAGCACACTATTCCAATTGGTCGTATTTTCAGATTGTCGCTTACAGTGATTTAGTCTATTGTAAGATCCATTTTTGAATGTTTTATTTGTGAAAATCCCTACATGTATACATTTGTAACTCGTCCTTATTAATTCCTTTATTTGTACGTTTTGTTAGTCTGTTCGATTCTATTTGAGATGGTAATATTTGTATTTTATTATAGTTTATTTTTTCGGCGTTCACTGAGTTTCTATGTTTCCTTCTGAACTTCTTTTATTTTTGGCTGATACTTGGTCTTGGCGTCAGCCATATTGTCTCGTCCCTCCTCTGATTATACTATATTGCTCTCATTGACTGGAATTGTGCATTTTGATTGTGAATTGAAGCGCTTACCCGGAATAGGAAACACTGTGTGTTATACAGCAACCAGATATTATCTTTCGAAAGAATCTGATCTATCCAGAAAGGATAGAATAACATTTATTTGTTGCTGTTGATTTGATTAACTGAACAATTGTTTCTGGAATAACTGAGTGGTCATATTTGTTTAGTTAATGATGGACGTTTATATTTATGATGAATATTAGAACCGTCATCTACCCAATCACTTTTTTTATTTCACCTGGGCAATAACGCGCATCTAAACTACCTAGACAAATATTCTTCAGTCCAAACCTCAGTTTTGATTCTACAACTAGTCTGTATGACACCATTGTTCAATGTCGAAAGTCGACTCAACTGCCGCGAAGTCTGTTATTGGTTCCGGTGACTCAAAACTAATACCTGAATGACTGCTTTATCGGTCATGACCTTTTCGGTTTTATTGTGATGACAGTTTTCGTCGTCCGCAGTAATTTAACACACTGAAAGATGAACTCCATTTCTTTATTATAAAACATAGTTACTCACAATGATCTCAGCGTCCACTTTTAATGGGAGATTTCCAGTAACCAGACTGATAACTATCACGTAATCTGGATTATCATCTATACCAAAGAAATGCATAACCTTAGTCACATAGCATCCGGCAGTAATGCATCTTGCTTACCGAAGGTCACTATCTCTCCAACTTACTTAAAATCGCCATTAACTTATGTCATCTTGGGTTAACATGAGCGAAATAGACTCCCCAAAGATATCAATAATATTAGTGACAGAAATGTATTCGTCCTCGATATCGAATGAGGAACTATGTATGAATCTCTTTTAATCATAATAAGGACAGACGATGTAGTATCTGTGCACCTCTGAGATGAGAGCATAAAGTAATCAACACACCATAAGGCTGAATATGGCTCGTTATATGAGGCATCACTTATGAGATAATACGAGAATGTGTCCACATTCCTTCGTTTAAACCTGAATATGGGGGATTTTCTGAAAGATATGTACATATCTCGACGGGTAATTTCGGTTTTAGACCGATTGTTGGTGATTTCAGTCTGAACAAAACCAATTGAGAAACAAACCGTTAATCGTAACGATATGAAGAAACAGCTTCCTCGATAAACATTTGTGGATAAAAATGGAATATTATATAGACGTTTCTCTTCACTATTATATTAGACTTAGTGCTTTTTCAAAATATATATCTTGCAATTACAAAATGACATACCCCAAGACAACATCTGGTATCATACTTGCCCTAGTGAGATGGATTGAGGGATATTTTATTTTAACCAAGTATATGTGACCCGTGTAGGTTGACATCTAATAACTTTTCTCAGTTATAAATTAAGACTCGAATGGACATTTTTACACACTTTTTCAAAAGTTGCGCGTCGATTCACATTCCATATATGAAGTTTATGATTCCATCGGGCTATAAACTGCTCTTAACTTCAACCAAGAGTTGTTTGACAGCTCAAGTAAGAAGACTGATATCCTTTCTCGGTAAACTCATTCATTAAAATATATGTGGCATTTCTTATTAAGGATGAAGTCCGCCATTAACTCACTGACGTATGTCAAATGGATAGTAATAATTTTATGTAATACAGAGTTATTTGCTTACATCAATCATGGTAAGTAATAAAACTTGTCCTTTTGTGATGGAGTTTCTGTATATACACCCCAATTCCACAGTATTGATCAATAACTCACAACATAGGCTGAGATATAAAATAATAACGAAGTAAGAATGATAAATATATAGAGTGTTTCAACCTAAATCAAATTTGATTTGCTTTTGAGGTACAGACAATCGATGCACCCGTGGCTTACGACCGAAATAACAAAGGGATTAAATTTCTCTTTAAAAGCCAAATTTGTATTCATAACTCAAAAACGATCAACATAAAGATGTCTTTCTAATGATTATCACTGCAAACGTCACAATAAGCCATCATCTTTCAATGTTCCATAGCCGAATTCTCAAAATACTTAGTGAGCGAAACTGGAATTTGCTTGGGTCGAACTCGTTGAAACCAAGCTCAAAGTCTGAGTAAAGCAAATGAATCCAGAAAGCAACAGTGTACAGTAAAACAACTCCAGATCCGCCAGTAATATAATGTAAGTGAATGTATTTGATAGGATATTCGCACAGATATACCAACAATTTTACACAAGTGGTTGTTTTAGAGTTGCTTCAGGTTCACACTTGTTAAACACTGTTCAAAAATGATAACGCGTACCGCTTGAAAAACTTGCGTTTGGCTGAATCTTACAAATTTGTTTGCTACAATAGAAAGTAATTGTTAAGACAAGGCTTTGTACAATGTAACAATTTGAATTTTAGTCATTTTTAGGTAAAACCAGGACTAAATAATGATCTGAGGACTTCCTTATCTACAAAGAAACTACACTAACTCTACGGCAAACTGTACAAGGGAACAGGTATTAGAGAGCAAAAATTACTTACTTACTTATTTACACCTGTTACCCCCAATGAAGCATAGGCCGCCCACCAGTTTTCTCCAACCAACCAAAGAGTAAAATTAAATAATATTTAAAGTTTCACAAGAATGACGAAAATGTAAAACTTTAAGACTTTTAATTTACGTTAACAAAATAGGATTTTTCGGTTACTGCAATTTTTATTGCTCTCACAATTTATACCAGCTGTTATATCTCAGCTAAATTATGAAACAAGAAGACAGAAAACATGAGTTAAATATGGATAAAACATGTGAGGAAAACCACTGAGACTACCAGAATGTACCAATTATCATGACTACACAGAAGTATAAAAACATGGTTTTTGAGAACCTCTAAGGCGAATGAGAGTTCCAGTCAAATTATGATCGGATAATATTTTAAGTAGTGGTAGCGCTAAACGAGGGGCGTGTTAAGTTCTAAGTGATACATTTTTATAGTGATTAGTTTGGAAAATTGCCAGATACAGACACCAGGTTTTTAATTTATTCAGTTAGATAGTTATATCAAAATTTAAAACAATTAGTCTCTTTCATAAATTTTGATAGAACAGTGAGAAGACGTAATTGATCTGAAAAATGTGATGTATTTGCTCTATACATTTCGAACAATCTGGTCACACATATTTACTTATCAAGGCATTTTATATGAAGATGAATAAAAGGTCAATTAAATAAAAGTTCAAATAGACATAGGGTGATAATTGTAAATAAAGGAGAGAGAAAATTAACGTAATATGAAAAGAATAAGAAGGGGTAGGAAAATTGTCACATTACCATAGGCTTAAAGATTACCAAGGTAAACTCAAGGATTTGACAAATTGTTTCTGCACACATGACGGAGATTTTAATTTTCTAAATGCCAAGGCCTCCATAAACCTCAAAATTTGTCCTACAACATTTCTATACAATGTTTCGAAGGCTGTCTTGATGTCAATCTTATGCCCTGTCTCAATTATGTGTTCGGCGATCGATGAACATGGTTTTCCATTTCCAACGTTAATCGGCTGATCTGACGTTAACTGATTTTGAAGCCACTTAGGTACATGTTCCACAACCATTGATTGCAAAGTCCGATTACTCCTCCCTATGTATGTGCGTCCACACAAACATGTAAATTGATAGATACAATATGATGTGATGTAATCATTACAGCAACGTTTAGGTGTATGCGAAATCATGGACTTGGTCTTTTCAATGATAATCAGTGTAGCAGCGTTGTATGTTTTCTCTATGGCTGCTTATAGTCTCTGTCTTATTATTAGACCATTTGCTTCACGTCTAAATGGTAAAGTGACATAAACCTTTTACTTTTCAGTAGAATCAAAAACTTCCTTTCGTCTTATCTGATTTCTACATCTATTGATGAACTTTAACGGATAGCCATTAAAATCAATGCTTCAGTTAAGAAATTTGCAACGTCATCAAATGTATCCGTGGTGCAAATAATTTGTGCCCTATTGAAGAGGCATTTTAACATACCACGCCTATATTGCAGTGGACAAAATTATCACAATTTTCACTCATACTGACAACAATCCCTGTTGCATATAGATAGGACAACTAAAAGTTGGTCTGCTATGATTAGAGCCCGGATTTGAAGAACAACCGGAAGATTGGTCACCATAGTTCATCATTGACTCATGAGAAATGTTAGCTTGAAAGCAGATAATAAATAATCAGGATTTCCACGAATGATTTAAAAAGAAAACTTAGAATTAAACTACTAGAAATTATTTGGAAGTCTATGCGTGAAGTCAAGGCATAATCCGAATTATGATGACCAGGACCCTCAGAGGTTATACTTGTAAGTAGTTTATACTCCGATAGCAGTTGTAAGCACAACAATGCTAGCAGGGAATTCTGACATGCCGAGATCTTACGCTGATAAAAGTTGGTGCATCGTGTAAACATACGATAAACTCGTGCGATATCACTTAATCTCAGAATAATGGATATACTGTAAAAAGTTAGACATACCTCAAGGCGGTTGGTGTCCCATATGCCGAGAATTTTGTTAGCTGATGCCGATATGAAGGAACCACTGTCAACTGGATACCATTGCATACAAACTAGTGGAGACCCTTTTGACATAAACCCTGAACCACCACTTCTTCTGTTGCAAATGGACGCAATAGAAGTATGTTTAATTGAATCAAGACTCCAGACCCTTGGGTCTTCAACATCAAATATATGTATATGTCCGTCCTGTGACCCAACAAGTAGTCTATAGTGCCATGTAGGATGAAAATGTAGTGCTTACAGGCGAGACTCAACACAGTCGATAGTCATATCACATAACTGTGTGTTTGACTCAAAGGAGAACACAATCCCATGATCCACATCGATATTTTCAATTCTGTTTCGTAGGTAAGTATTTTGGCGACTGAGATCCAAAAAACTTGAACAGAACTTGTTCATTTTTCTTCAGCATTCGTTCAGAAAGTGAGGCAAGTATTTTCAGCAAAGCGCCATCCACTAGCCAGAAAGTACCTTGTGTATTAGGGCAGCATGCGAAATAGCGTGAGCGGGGAAAACTGGAAAAGCGAACAAAAGAAATGAGACGACGACCGAGTAAGCGTTTAATGAGCATAGGGATCAAGAAAAATCAGCTATCATACAAGCTTCAGATTTGGAGAACCAGGAAAGCCAATGTGAAGAAAAACAGCGGGAAAATTTTAAATTGTACATAGACTTAATTGCAAGGGCATCACTCAAGGTTCCAATATACGATTTCGTCTTCACAAGCTAGTATAAGCCAACTGATTTCATTGCGCTGGAGTCTTGTTCCTTCCATACGGTTTTAAGTGTTTGGTAGTTTCCAATGGATAGGGGCCTAGCCACTCGACTTTCTAACTCTAGTCAGTTGGCAGTTGGTTGTGAGTTTGCATATCTCGTGATTTGAATGAAAAGAGTTGTTTCAGAGCTGTAGGGATTCTGGATACCACCAGCTATCATATTAACAGACCGGAGACCAGCCAGTTGCGATATGGAGAATAATAGACAGAAAATTTTAATGCTAATAGGAAGAGAATTTCAGAACTAAGCAATATATAGATAATTTAGTTTATTAATTAGTAGTGAAGATTTTGAGAGAGGACTGAAGTGTGAGAAAGGGTAAGGAAACAGAAATAACAGGCGAGATAGAATAATTTGGTGATCTGAGGAGATGGCAATGATAACAACTACAGGTCTCAAGATATGCATCATGAACAGCTTTTCCACGAGGGAGATGATGATCCGTATGCGATAACATCATTATCACGTCTCCTCTTAAAGCTGTCCACTGAGGGGGCTGTGGTCACCTCGGCTGGGAGAGCATTTCAAGTTGCGACGACTCTCAATGAGAAAAAGTGTGCACCAACCTGAGTATCTGCTTTTTGATGTGCATTCTTTCGAGGATTGTCTGGAGGGGAGTGGTGGTGATGCATCGGTAAGATGCTCACGTTTGGGGTGGTTTGGCGTGCCTAATATGTTTTACACCATGATCGAATCACCTTTAATCCTCCTGTAACTCAGTGTAAATAATCCTAAGTGCTGGAATCAATCTTCACAAGGCTTGTTTTTCAACCATATCACCCATTTCGTTGCTCGTCTCTGCACTCGATCCAAGGGATTTATGCCTCGTTTGAGCAGAGGGGGTGTGATGACGTTGTGAACCTCCAGGTGTAGGAGCGCATACGTCTTAAATAGTTTTAAGAATAATTCTGGGGTGATAACACCAAGTTGTCTTCGCATAAAGTGAAGGGTTGCATGTAACTTGGCTGCGTTCCAAACATAATTCGAGCTCATGTGGAGGCTTTGTGTGGTTATTATACGGAGATCGAGCTCTGAGGAGACATTAGCGAGCGGACTTCCATTGAGGGTTTAGATCGTTTGCGCCGTATGAGGCAGAATATGAATGACGTGGCACTTCAGTCGGTTGAGTTTCAAACCGTTTTTCACTACCCATTCCCCAATAGATATAAGGTCGTTTTGAGATGGTGGAGAAAATTTGTAGCTCATGTGGATGATTGTGGCGGTGTTTGGTTCTCTGAGCCGGATATTTTGGTTGTGGAGCTTTCAATGTTCTTCTGAACAACATTATCAGCACAAAATTAGGATGGAAGTGAAGCATTCGAATTTCTCCACGTTTGACCTGTAGCTTGTTCTGCTAACCTCGGTCTTGTTGCTGTTGACCTTAAACCTGTCGTTGTTTTCACCTTTTGATTGTATCCCCCTTTCGATCTGTTTCTTGATCCTATGTCATCCGGCTCAGAGAACTAGACACCACCACAATTAGGTCTTTTTGAAGCTCAACAGAATCCTTTTCGCATCGTTTGTGTAGATAAATCACGGTGAGCCAACTGAGCCCAACAGGTCGTCAGTAAATATCAGGAAGAGAAGTAGGCCTATGATGGTCCCCTGCATACCCGCTAGCTGGCGTGCACTCTATTCATCTTGGTACGAAACTTTATACTCTCAAGATAGTTACTGAGCCAAGATACGAGTGGGTCTGTGAAGCCAATTTCCGCAACCTTCGCGGTTAGGCGTGCGTGGGGTACTGTGTCAAAGTCTTTTGCAACGTCGAGAGATATTATGTGCACCGGTATTTCACGGTCCAAACAGGATGTCCAACTGTCTCATGCGATGAGAATATTAGATGCTCATGACCTGCATTTCCGAAACTCCTGTTGGGCTTCATGGGGTATTTTATTCTTATGCATATACTTCCTCATTTGTTCGTTCGCCAGACCTTACATTACCTTTGATGTTGTTGATAGTAATGCTACTGCTCGGTGACAGGCTGGGTCCTTTCTATCTCCTCCTTTGAAGATTGGAGAGAGATAGGCTTTTTTCCACTCAGCTAGGAATCGGTGTGACTCCAGTAAATGCCTGAAAAAGTCACACAACTGAGCAACGTTTTCACGAGCTATTATATACAGATTATTTATTTTTCTCTCTCTACTTGTTGTTTCGGTGAGGTTCCAGGTATTTCTTCATGCTCAATGATTGATTTCTAGCCACCCGACTGTGCCAAGTCAGTGTCTACGTATCTGTCAAGTTACCTATGGAAACTGTTCACTAGGGGGACTTCGGTCAGTTTGACTCGCAGAGTATTCCAAGTATGTAACTCCGGAGGAGTGATATACTGGCATGATGTTAGCACTAGGGTGACTTGGCATGCATAATATATTTTAAGCCATTTTCAGACCATGTCTTACTATCCTATAACTCAGTGAGAATAATCTTAAGTACTAGAGTCCGTCTTCCCAGGACTTTCCAACCCTTTCACCCACCCACTTTCAACCGCTTAAATGTTAGACTGTTGCCTACTGCTCAATACTCCAATTTTGTAAAGTCCTTTTGGACTTTCAGCGAACTCTCTTCGCTTCTAATTAACTTCCATATAATAATTATAATAATTTGTTCTCAAATAACAGACATGTTACAAGAGGCATACCAATTTACAGGCAAGATCAAACTGTTAAGATTGGCAACGTATTTCTTTTTAAACGGTGTACGGTCACTGAAACATTTCACAAGATACATTGGCTTCGTGTAGATGGCTAAAATGTTTCACATAAGATTATAGATAATTTTGCAGACCCTAAAATATACAGTGCAAATAATTGACGCGAGTTACATAAGTTGCGTTACGACGAGCTTCTTAATTACTGCGAAACAATGCAATATAGAGCCAGATCTGTATATAACAAGAATTGATGAGGTAAACGTGCAAAGATGTGGTTGATATTCGTCAGCTAATACATTTACAGGCACATAGGTAAATCAACCAAGTCTTCGGCAAATATCCAGACTAATATATAAGGGTTGCAATAAGGTGCTGAAAAAGAGAAATAAACGGAAAGGGGCGTGGAGCAGAACAGGAAGTATTCTTGTTTAAAGCCAAACAATGACTCAGCAGATACTTTTTTGATAAAACAAAGGTTTGTTTACTCAGTCCTTTTTATATTAGAATACTAACTGTAAACCCTTACTTATATAGGTTGATGAAGACAATTCAGTAGTAAGATAACGAATGGACAATTAATCGTATGAATAAAGGAAATTCAGAATAACCAAATTGTTAACAACAATTTTGATTTACAGAATATAATAATGAGGCACAGTGATCTCATGTTTTTGTGATATTTTATTTATTCTTCTTCTTTTTAACTCTGTGGCTCAAGAAGTTATGAGTGAGCTCTTTTTCTGTATAATTTTCCAGATCTGCTTGTAATAGGATTTCTTGGTAGGAAGTTAAAACCAGTGCAAGGTTACGGACATGCGTAGTAGACGAGATTAACAAGGAAAATTAACATCAATATCACTGATTTGTTACATCCTGCTATGTGGCGAGTAGCCGCAAGCAAACAAAATGTTCGTGAAGGTGTTTTGTTCTCTGAGCTGGTTGTTTTGGTTGTGGAGCTTTCATTGTTCTTCTGAACAACATCATCAGCACGAACTTCAGATAGAAGTGAAGCATTAGAATTTCTCCACGTTTGACCTGTAGCTTGTTCTGCTAACCTCGATCTTGATTGGTTGTTGTTGACCTTTGGCCTGTCGTTGTTTGCAACTATGTTTTGATTACCTCCCTCTTTTGATCTGTTTCTTGATCTTGATGTTGTTCAGAAGAACAATGAAAGCTCCACAACCAAAACAACCAGCTCAGAGAACAAAACACCTTCACAATCATCCACCTGAGCTACAAGTTTTCTCCACCATCTCAAAAACAAAATGTTCTGCCACACAGACGCGGGTAGATTGATGCTATCGCCCCATCGTCATGACTGCTGGTCAGATACACCACCCTCCCTCAATTTGTGATGTTGGGCTCTCTTACATTTAATGGTTTACTGTAAATAATTTTTTTAGTCTACTCTATATCTTTTGCACACCTTATCGGAATTAACTTCCTCTACTAGCTCCACGTTACAAGCAATCAAGACAACTTTGCCTTCTGTATGAAAGACAAAATAACCACGTAGCATGCCAGACTGAGTTTAAGTAAACTAATGGTATAAATTGCAAGTTCTGTATCGGTTAATAGGTAGTTTGGAGATAGGAAGGACAGTGAGCTGGAAAAAGAAGGAAGAAGAAAAGAGCTGAAATAATATTAAAAATTAATGAGAAAAGCGATAAGTTGTTAAGCGGGCAAGGTGTCTGGATGCTAGTGAATTGGGAAAATAAAAATTTATTAAACTGTTAATACTCAAACAAGAAGGAACTGACAGTGATACAGGGAGTTTGTTTTTCTTGCCTTCAACAGTACTTGATCAGCATTTATAGGCTCTACAATTCGTCTGTCTACTAGAAATAAAAACTAAAACTGCTTTGAAGATATGAAAATAATGATTGGAATTTAAATTTAGAGAAAAGTCATGGTTAGCACTTTAAAGGCGTAACGTATTGCTGTTAGTAGGAGCAGGGGGATTTGTCCATGATTTCATGATCCCTTAATGGATGGTAATGCGAGCAGAATATTTTCATAGTCTGTAATTAGTTTCTAAGGTTTACCTAAATATCTGGTGGACCGTAAAAGAGTGCCACGTGACTTGGTTTGATTTCGGGAAATAGTCGATAAGTCTCTTTAGAGTCTAACAACAGCACTACTAGTTTCTTGAACCTAGTGATTGTGTCACAGATACGAATAGTAATTGGTAACCCGTTCCATGATAGACTGTATAGTAATACAAAGAAATTACAACGCAATGA